AGAGCAAAACTATGGGCAATTATCTTTTTAAATTGTCAGAAGCACTACCAGAGTTGTTTGAAGTCAGTGTATTTTATTTTGGAAAGCTTTGGTATCCAAGGAAATCCCTCTGGATATTATAAATATCTTGTAAAAGTGGTGAAAATTGTTAATTTTAAAGGTTCACTGATTAACCAAACTCTTGAAACTTTTTTCAGTGATTAGAGCTAAGCATGACCATTGTATCATATCAAAATTCATTTATTGTTCCTATGGAAAGTTCTAAGTAGGGCATAAGAACTCAGGAATAATATTCATGTTTTTCTAGTTGGAAAGCAATCTTATGTGGCAGATATTTTCAAAGATAATATTGAGTGGCAAAATTGACATTATGTGTCTGATTTTCTGGCATGCCTAATAAATGAAATCTGAAACCGCAGGAAGACATGATTATATATTTCAGTATGTTAAACTTATCTGTCGGTTGCAGAAGACATTACTGTTACAGAAGGAAGGCTTAAATGTAATTGCTTTAACTAATATATGTTTCTGACATTACTGAATAGAATTTATTAATGAATTCAGTCTGAATATAAAATTAGATATATTGTTACATCTCATTTCTCCGTTGTAAACTTTTAATCATTACTTTCTAAAGGAGAAATTTAAAACATTCAAGAAAAATGTTTGATAAAAGATACATTTCCTTTTAAAAATCCTGAATCAGTAGTTAGGTTAAACCTGTTGGCTGAAGAAAATTAATTAGTGAAGCTTAGTTCTTCATTTACACCAAAGAATGAATATAAGACATTAAATTTATCATTTGGGGAATAAGATTTCAAATAATTTCTATTACTAAGTAAGAGTGAAAGAAAATTTTTTCAACTTAGACCAACTTTTTTTAAAGGAAACTTTTTCCTGTATTCTGGATATAAGTCCTTTATTAGGTTTGGTTTTTGTAAATATTTTCTTCCAGTCTGTGGCTTGTATTTTCATTATCTTAATAGAATTTTTCAAAGAGCAGAAATTTTAAATTCTGATGAAGTCCAGCGTATCAGTTTTGTTCTTTTAAATGATTTATGCTTTTTTGGGTTCTAAGAAATCTTTGCTTAACCTAAGGTCACAAATTTTCTAATAGAAGTTTTATAGTTTTAGATTTTATATTTATGTTTATGATCCACTTCAAGTAAATTTTTTATATGGTGAAGAAGTATGGGTTAAGGTTTTGTTTCAACTCCAGCTCTATTTGTTGAAAAGGCTATACTTAACTTGAATTGTCTTGGTACCTTTGTCAAAAATCAGTCGATCATGTAAGTGTGGGTATACTTTTGTATTCTGTTCTGTTCCATTGACCTATGTCTCTTCTTTCACTAGTACCACACTATCTTAATTACTGTAGCTTTATAGTAAGTCTTACACTCAAGTAGTGTGAGTCTACCAACATTTTTCTTTAAAAAAATTTTTGGCTGTTCTAGATCCTTTGCTTCTCCATATGAATTTTAGAATAATTTTGTCAGTTTCTACCTGTAGAGGAAAAACATTCCGGTGTTTCTGCTCTACTCTCAGTATTTCACTTCATTTTTTACACTCTGGTCACCAAATGTGTAGTGATTTTCCCATAGCGAGCAATTTTTTTTGACACCAAGTAGATGTCCTACAATTCAGTCCCCTTCTGACACTCTACCTGGAGATAGCATCAGATTACACAGGCTAAGAGCTCAGTCCCACAACATTATCCCCCTTCCAATACCGGTCATAAGTCCAAGTATTGATCTGTGCTGCTGACAGACTGGCAATCAGTCAGAGGTTCCCACACCCTCTTCCTCAGGTTCGAGTAATTTGCTTAAGCTGTTCACAGAACTTCAAGAAAACATTTTACTTACTAGATTACTGGTTTATTATAGAAGGATGTAATTCAGGAATAGCCAGATGGAAGAGATGCATAAGGCAAGGTATGAGGGGAGGAGCGCTGAGTTTTCATGCCCTCTCTCCTGAACTACTATCCCAGCACCTCTACGTATTCACCAACCCAGAAGCTCTCTGAACCCCATCCTTCTGAGTTTTTATGGAGGCTTCATTACATAGGCATGATTCATTAATTCACCGGCCATTGGTGATTGAGCTCAGTCTCCAGCCCCTCTCTCCTACCAGGAGTTTGTGGTGAGAGGAGCTGAAAGTTGGAACCCTCTAGTCACATGGTTGATTCCTCTGGCAACCCGCCCCCATTCTTATTAGGGGCTTTCCAAAAGTCATATTCATGGCTGAAAGGGCTTATTATAAATAACAAAAGACAGTTTTACTGTTCTTCACTTAGGAAATTCAAGAGTTTTAGGAGCTCTTTGCCAGGAACAGGATGGAGACCAAATACAGTATATATTTATTATAAATCACAATATCACTCTACTATAAAGAGCTACACAGTAGTGATTCCATTTATATGACATTCTGGAAAAGGCAAAAATTATATAAACAAAAATCAGACCAGTGATCCTCTGGGGGTGGGGGAAGAAAAATGACTACAAAGGGGCACAAGGGAACTTCTGGGGTCATGAAACTATAGTGGTGGTGGTTATACAACTATATATCTTTGTCAAAACTCAGAACTGTACAGCTAAAAAGTGTTTATTTTACTGTATGTAAATGATACCTCAATACACCTGACATTAAAAAATAATATATAAAAAGGAAAGGACCAGGCTATATTTGTTGTTATAAATAGAAAGGACATTCTGTGAAACTTTTGTTTCAACTATATAAATAAATGTGAGTTGTGATGTAAATTATATTTCTTACTGTGGGCCATGGTAAAAATATTTTGAAAAAGGCTACCCTAGAAAAACTTCTATTCCATGTGAATAGGAAAACATATGCAGCAATTTCAGTGAGCATTGTTTGAAGTACTAAAAAAACTAGTAACAGGATAAAAGGTACAGTATAATGGGATGCCTACATACCAATTAAAATGAAAGGATTAGAGCTATAACATAAATAACCCTCAAAAACATAGGATTGAACAAAAGGGAGCTAACGCAGGATATGTACACTGTGATATCATTTGTATAAGTTTTAAACATGAAAAACTGTGATATATTGTATAAATTAAGAATACTAAAACCTCAAGTTTTAGAAAATGTTACATAGCTTAGTTAATGGCTTTCTCTTGGATAAAGAGGGCTTCAACCATATCTAATGCATTTTGTAAAGTAAATATGGTAGGATGTTTACGTTTGACAAAGCTAGGTGTGAGTAAAAAGGTGTTTTCTCTATATTCTTTATGTCTGAATGTGTTTTAATCTGTAGAGGGTCATCAGTAACCTCTGTAGCCTTGAAAGCCATCCATGATATTGGCCAGTAGTAGTGGGTTCTACTTTTAAGCTTAGAGGTAAAGGGAAACGTTTAAAAAAGTGGGGGCAGGATACAGAAAGGTAAAGAAAATGCTGGAGAGAGAGGGAGGAACATAAGAGAAATGAGAGCAGTGGGTGCGTGTGGTAGAGTAACATACTTGACATCCTGTGTGACTACTGGTTGAAGTTTCTGCTGTACTAATGCGTAACCCGCGTTTCCATGTGAGGACAAGAAAACTTACAATTTCAATGAAAGTTTAAAAACATTAAAAAATGTTTTTTAAAGTATACAATTAAAACAGGTTCATTGTTTAAAAATCAGGATAAATAAGCAAAAAGTAATAATCAAAATCTCACCATTTATTTTTGACATTATAGTGTATGCCCTTTTAGGCTTTATACCAGCAAATCTGTACATACTCTTTTTTAAAAAAAATCATATTATATGAGTCATGCTGTAACCTTTTTTCCACTCACCAATATGTATTGAAGAACACTATTTTAATGGCTGTGTAGTTTTCCATTGTGTGGATATACAATTTACCCTGCTCCTGTTGTGAAAAATTATCATTACTTATAATTTTTCACTACTTAAACATATTTTTATAAACATCTCTTCATTGGAATCATTATAACATACATATTTAATTCTTCCCCAGATTAAGTTCATAGATCCTGAGTGAAAAAGTATGCATATTTTTGAGGTTTTGGATTCTTGATAGTTCCTCTCAAGAACTCCACTTTTCCTAGCAATATAGGAATAATGAGAAAGGACAGATTTAAATTAAAAGGATTTATGTGACAGTGAAATTATAAATTATTAAACACAGACATGTGTAGATTTTATTTTGGAGGGCTATATATGTTAAATGTTATATACTACCTGGATCAAAGTAAGTTCATTACAAAATAGATTTTCATGTGATCCAGTTCTAGTTAAGGATAACTGGATTCCTAAGTTTCCCATCATTGCCTAAGATACTTTCCTTTGTAATAAGTACCTGGAAACTTAGCAATACCAATGAATTTTCTTTGTCTTCCTTCCTTTTTTTTTTTAAATTAAGACTTTATGATTCCCTTCCTATAGTACTACAGGAGGAAATGCTCTTGGAATAAAAACCACTAATACAAATGACAAAATAACCCTAAGCTGTCCTAGGTAGGTAAAATCTCCATGTATATTGGTCCCCAAGAAAAGTCTGTGTTAGAAAAGCTTTGTGTTAGAAAAGTTTCCATCAATAGAGAAGAAGAATCCCCTGGAACTAGATATGTGACAGGAATATCATTTGAAAGATAAAGAGTTGAAGGGACTTATAAGGTAGAGTCATTGTGGGGATGGTTTATAAGGAAAGAGAGATGTCTCAGACCGTGTGGATTATTTTCAAATAATTTTCTCATGGATAAAACTTCTAAGTTACAGATCTCAAAACCAGGAGCTATCCAAATGGCACAGTAATGAGTGTATGAACAAGTTCATTTTTGTTTTTATTGGTATTTAGATAAAATAACTAGATGTAGTAATGAATGTATTATTAAACAGTCAACTCTACCTTGAAAGGCAAGGATCATGTCTTACTCATTTCTGTTTCTCCAACTGTCAGCACATGTTTAATACTAGTAGGCAATCAATACATCTTGAACCAAATAACTAATTGTTTCATTAATTCTTCCAAACAGACTGGATTATGGACAGAACTCGAAAAGATTGAGAATAATTTCTTAAAGCCACTCCATACAGGTCTTAATATGTCAAAAGCACATTATGAAGCAGAAATTAAAAATAGCCAAGGTTGGTAATGTGAAGTTTCATTTTCAGTTAGGTCTAAAAATTAGTCATATTTTTTTGAACTGTCATTTATATTCAAAATAAAGAACTTTATCTTGTACTTGTCTAACTTAGAGCAAACAGGGAACTGTTATAGCTAAGTCATTTTATTTATAATTAAAATGTTTCTTGGCAAATCTGTATGCCAGTTAACACTGAAATTGGGTTAACAAAGATTTAAACCAAACTGAAGCATATTCTGGTTTCAAACCTCAAGGTCTGATTAAGAATCTAATTGTATCACAAGTATTTCTGTTTGGATGTCATTGTACTTCCTTTAGTATTGTGGGGTCCATCCCCCACTTCACCCTCTACTCAGTTTGTACAAATTATGAAAAAGAATCTTAGATCCGGAATTACTTTTTAAAGTCAGCAATTCTATTATAATAATCTTGTGGTCTTTTCCATTTCACTGTGGTGGTATTTCTGTAGGCATTACTAAAAATTTTGTCTTTTTTAGTGTGACAGGTATATTTCAGATTTTATATTGAAGAAAAAAGTTTTAAAATTTTCATTCATCCTGTACATGCCAAAATACTATTCACCTAAACATTTATTCACATGTTGCAGAATTTTAATATTTTTGTTTGTTCATAGCTTTATTTTAGCATACCCTGAGCTATTAAACACTAAGGCTTAATTTACACAAATAACTGGCATTTTTAAAATTAATAAATGATTAAAGTAGCTTATAAATTTATTATTGAAATCTGAGAGTTGTTTTAATGATTAAGTGTGACACGATTTTTTTTTCTCTTACAGAAGTCCAGAAGTGTAAAGATCTTTGTTCTATAACTGTAGGTAGAGAAGAGATCCCGAATATGCCTCCTGAAATGCAGCTTAAGGTAGATATGAAATTTTCCTAAGCTACATACAGCTGAAGTCTTTTCTTTTTGCTTTGTTTTGCTTTAAAGGCATCCTTAATAACGCTAATTTTTCTTGGCATTGCAGGTCCTACATTCAGCTCTTTTTACATTTGATTTGATTGAAAGTGTTCTGGCTCGAGTAGAAGAACTCATTGAAATAAAAACAAAGTCTACCTCTGAGGAAAATATGGGATAAAGTGAAAGCTCCATCCCCTAAATAAAAACTAATATACTATATTTTCCATTATGTTTATTTAATACCTTTATAAAGCTTTTCTGTAAAACACACTGGTAGAAAATAAATGTAGCTTTTCTCATTTATCCGTTTCAGCAGTGACACATTATGGATCAGTAGTATTGTTTGGTTTTAAAAAGATATCTACATGGTAAATAATGCCCATGTGTATTTTAAATACTACTATTGAAAATCCAATACAAATCAATAATTTTATATTATGACTTCATAAAATGTACTGGAATTGCCTTTATTCATTCATACAGTTGTAGTGAGTTTATAAAAATACTGATACACTTTATGTTCCAGTTAGATGCTGTGTTACATTTTAGAACTCATAGTATCAAACTGGCTATCACACCACTAAGAGCTAAGAGAGCTTAGAGAGAAATTTTGAGTTTGGACCAGCTGACTACTTCTCTTAATTTCCTTCTTTTTCCCTGCCTCAGGAGTCTTAGGGGGCAGAGTCCTATCAATCACCAGCTCTCCAGCAGTAGTTACAATGTGAAAGCATCTGTGAAGATTAATTTTAGAAATACTGGCTGGCTTGTATTATAAAAAAGTATATATGACTTTTCCTTTAACCTAAGGGGCTAATTAGAAAATGCTGCATATTTATTTGCAATTAAATATTTGTTCATCCAACTTAATTTGTATCATTAAGAAACTGCATCTGAGTTTTATAATATATGTACCAATTTTTTCTGAACTTTTTTTTATATACCTCATTTTTTATTGCATTTTGCAGATACTGCATTTTTTTTTTTTTTTGCTGCATTGGGTCTTCATTGCTGCGCATGGGCTTTCTCTAGTTGCAGGGAGTGGGGGCTACTCTTTGTTGCGATGTGTGGGCTTCTCATTGTGGTGGCTTCTCGTTGCAGAGCACGGCGTCTGGGTGCACACAGGCTTCAGTAGTTGCAGCACGCGAGCTCAGCAATTGCGGCATGTGAGCTCAGCAGTTGCGGCACGTGGGCCCTAGAGTGCGCAGGCTTCAGTATTTGTGGTGCGTGGGCTCAGTAGTTGTGGCGTATGGGCTCTAGAGCGTGCGGGCTTCAGTAGTTGTGGCGCACGGGCTTAGTTGCTCCGTGGCATGTGGGATCTTCCTGGACCAGGGATTGAACCCGCGTCCCCTGCACTGGCAGACGGATGCCCAACCACTGTGCCACCAGGGAAGTCCCTTTTCTGAACATTATTAAAGGAAGTAACAGAACTCCTGAAAATAAAATCATTTTTAATTGTATGTATTTTATTTTAATATTCTTCCAAAAGGACATTTGTAATTGATAGTCTAATTTGGGTTAAATGTATCACTACTCAGTTTTATCTTTTGAAGTGTTTTCCAAACTGGACTTTGCTCAATGATGTAAGCTTTAGTTGTTATCATTCTGTAGCAGATGCTATCTGTGTGTGGTTTGGAGGTGATCTGGAAGAAGATATAAACATGCAACATTATTTGAGAAATAAGGTATTTTTACAGGGTCAAATCATAAAATACCTAACATTATTTATTCAACAAGCATCAATCAGTACTGTGTATGGGTTATTAGAGTAATAGAAAAATACCTGATCTCTGTCTTTAAGAGATTTCAGACGTGCAAGCCAAAAAATAGAATACTATTAAGAATTGCTTCAACAGAGATCTGTTCCAAGTATAAGAGTAAGGAACACCTAACTCTGCCTATGGGAGTTGGGAGCACACTTTACAGAGGAGAATAAGTATGAAAAGAAAGTGGATAACCAGTGAAGTTATAAAATAGTATGTATGCACTCTGACAGTTCATGACTACCAATATTTATACTTTAGAATTTGAAAGAAGATTTAAGTAACCAATAGGGCCAACACTATATATATGGCCAAATGCTCTTTTGGCCCTAAATGAGTGATCCTGGTAGTTGGTACTGGAAATAAATTGAGAAGACTTGAAAGGCTAAGTTCAGGCTTGGGAAAGAGCTGCATGTGTTTTGAAATAGCAACTTCTCTGAGGGGAACAGAAGTAGAATATTTGTCAGTTCTACCGAAAAGGGTGTGCATTTTGAAGTCAAGAACAGTAAAGTGTATCGGTGTGTATGTATGTATGTCATTTTCCTCAGGTGATTTACCTTAGCTATGGTGCACATAAGATTAATAGCATTTATTGTGTTGTGTACTGGAAGTATCCGTAGGTTACTACCCAGGAATCTGGAAAAAAAAAATTCAAAAGTTAAATAGTTCATATGACTTACATCTGTTATCTTAAGTGGAAAGAAGAGACAAACCTCTTATTGTTTGTCATTTGTTTATTCATTCATGCCTGCCTTATTCCACAGAGGATTTGATATGGCTTTACAGCCAGAACTTAATTGACTAAAAAGTGTTCACTTCTGATTTAGTCTTGCTGGAGAATCCCATAAATCAGCATGCACTCTGAAACTTGTCACCCTGATTCATAGACTAGCTATTTGGACTGCATTTTATTAAATAGGACAGGTTAACATTATAAAGTTTACCTTTTGGCAAAACATAATTCGCTTGCCTAATATAATTCAGAACTGAAGTAAATAAAATAATTTCAGGAAAATAGGTCTGTAGTGCTATTGTTCATACCTCTGCTGAATCCTGAACATCAGTTTCCATTCCTCAGGCCCATGCAGGGCAGCAGACAGAACCAAAAAACTATTTCGGTGAATGTTAATAAACTTCTCAATTTTGGCTAGAAATGTTTCTTCAGCAGACATAAAGCATTTTTTAGCATCCATCAATAAAAATGCAACTCCTAGGAAAGGTGAGTGTAATATAAAATGTCACTTCGTCATACTGATAAAAATTTTTTTTGTAAACTCAGTAAAATCAATAAAAATAAGTAAAACATAGCTGTAAGTGTCCAGGCCCTAAACCCATAACAAATGGAAATTACCATAATGAAAGTCTTACATGACAAAATAATTAGGTAGTTCTTTGAAGTGCTCTGTATATAAAAGGATGACTTAATCTAAATATTTAAGGAAAAAACCCTGTCTTGGTCAGTAACCTTTTTTTTTTTTTACTCTAAGGCACTGTCCACAATGAAAGTAATGCCTAATTTTAGTTACATGTTAATTTTTCACGTTATGATTTTTAAAAGCTGGAAATCAACTAAAGAAAAGTTGTTTTAAGCAAGCCTTTAGTTATTTCTTGGAGAATCTTTTATATCAGAACATAAACTATTATATAAATTAAAACAGTAAGCAGATATCTAGGATCTCTGAAGCAGTATCAGGCCTATAAGAATGGTCCAGAAGGGAAACAATCTACTTAGCTCTTTAAAAGATGAGGGGAGGACACAATCTGAGGAAAGCTGTGATTATACTAATTGAATCAACCTGAGCTAAAAATTTATATAATATCTCTGAACCTAAATTTCTTCATCTGTAAGGTTGGAATAATAGTTCTTTGATAGGTTTGTTGAAAGGATTAAATAAGAGAATGCATATAGGGCTCTCTATTCAACCAGGAAAGATGAATTTGAGGTTGGACCATTTTCAGCCTGGAGGTCTATTTCTAGGAGCTTTTGAAAGTGCCTGTCTTCCAAAATCTCTGTTAGAGTACAGGTCTGTTTGTAACCATCCTAATAAAATCCTTCACCTCCATGTTTTTTTAATCACTTCTGTCATTTTCCAAGCACAAGTGGAGCTGCCTCCTTCTCATGTCCCTAGCTTTCTCATATCCTAATCTAATTCCTTCCTGTACTTTGCCCATGACTCCCAGTTGTACAGTTTTATGATTTCAGGAACATTTGTCCCCATTTGTTTCCTTTAGTTAGTATTTGTTTATATCAATATTATGTTCAGCAAACTTGTACAAAATCATGAAAAACATTCTTCTATATTGTTTTTATATATGGATTTTGACCAATATCGTGATGTTGGCCTCTGTTAATATGGTAATATTTTAAGTATTGACTATTGGGGAGGGTGGCTTTGTTCTATTTTCAACTTCGTTCCAAAGCAAGTAGTTTGTACCATCCTCTACCAGACTCCACTGGTTCAGCTTTAGTTCAACAATTGTAATCTAAAAAGGAATATATTTTGTAATTGGCCATATGTACTGCTTTTGCAGCAGTAACAAAGTTTTATACATTTACCTCTCCCAAAAGGTAACACCTTAAGCTTATTACTTAGTTACTGAACTACCAAATTATTAGAATTTACACTTACTTATTTATTAAGAAACTTGAATCAAGGAAGTTAGCAAATATACTGTACCAGAAAGAGAAAATATAATTGATCCATTTTCCACTGAATCTGAATACCGAACCTTATGGCTTCGATTTTCTAGGGCAGTTGCAACTTCATAACTCTTAAAAAAATTTTCAGAAATACAAACTTAAGACATGTTTTAAAGAGTTTAATTAAAGCTATTCAAAAAATTAAAATAAGTTTAATAGCTTCTTTTATAACTATACCACTTAAAGATTTGATCATCAACAGAGGTTCCAAATGTGCTCTCTATGGAGGAAAAAACTTAAAAGGTAAAAATATTTAGTTTTGAAACTGTGGTTTGGAAATGAGTTGTGTACTAGTTACGTTACTTAGGGAAGAAAATAAGGACAGTATTAAAGAAACTATAAGAGCAAACACAAACTTCTCTTTGAAAAACAACTTGAAGATGGATTCTGACATGCATTAATATATAAATAGAAGGTGTATGGTGGTGTGTTTCTTAGATGGTTGACAGAACCATGAAGTGCCATACAGAGTACCACAAGGAGACAACCAATTCTCCAATTCATGTTTACATTACAGTTACTTTTAGTATACTTTTCAAATGTTTTAAGCCTTAGGTGAGTTAGAAAACAAGACAGCAATAGGACTTTTGGTTTAAATACTAAGCGTTTCAAAATTCATCTAATTTCCTATTCTACCCACGTAATTAGATATTACCCAAAGCACTAAAATAGAAGTGGTTTATACTATTTATGAATTGGTTAAAACTCAAGCTTGTTAGTCTCCAAGTAGATAAAAATCCCTTATATAAACTTTATATTTAGCCTCAGAGCATGTATATTTTAAGCACACAGGTTGGAATTAGATATAGAATACTTGATTCCCTTCCTTCCTAAAAAGAGT